CCCCAAAACCCCAAAACCCCAAAACCCCAACAATTTTCAATTATATTGAAACTATAATAATTATCTTAGTATAATGGAACTACTAAATATTTCCCCCATTGGTCTATCATATCTGACTTCTTTACTTGTTCCATTACTTGTTTCTGTCTCATTACCTTCTTCCACACTAATGATCCTTCAAGGTGAGAAAATTCATCTTTTAGTACGGGAACCACTTGATAATCAGAGCCGAAAAATGATGCGTCTTGAATACAATTCTCGTCAAATCAGAAGACAGATTTGTAAAAATCCACGTACTCCATTACTTCTTTGGAACCTTTGAACTTAGTTTCCCTACTTTTTGGATCTTCTGGCCTGCTTGTTTTAATTTTAAAGGAAGTAGCTGAGACATACATTTTGAAGCATTGCTTGTCTCCTTTTCTAAGTGACGACCTCCCCTCCACTTTTTGAAACATTACATTATGAATTTCTTCTCAATAGGGCTCAATTTTAATTGAGAACTTTTCACATAAGATATCTCTAGTGTACCAGTATTGGGTTTTATTTTTCTCCTTTGGGTATATAATTTTTACCATCGAGTTCGGGAAGAGATTAACATTAATAGAACAGGAATTCGCTTCTATATATCAAGAGTAGGAACTTAAAGTTACACTCCTTCCAATAGGAATTTTATCAATACATCCCAGGGTAATCTTCGAGTTCAAAATATTACAGTTTTGGAACGATGGCCTATCTTTTAGCTCTGATATATATTCTATATTGGTGAATTATGGTTAACTTTGGACTAAATTTGAAACAATCTTCTTACTTCCATCGAAATCCAAGAAATCTAATTTGAATCCACTATAATTTTAGGCTATTCCTTACTATTTAGTTCCTCGCATGAGCTTAATGTCAAAGTTGCAAGTATCAAAGCTCACAAAGAGCTTGAATAACTTCTCAAATATTTCGGTCATTTCCCTGGCTTCATTGTTAATGGCATCATTTCTACCGTCGAGGTCTGAAATGGAGACTCATTTTACGGATTCTGCAAGGAGGGGATTGATAAAGTAACCCTCATTATTTCTATGTTCTTCATCAGTTTTTATTTTTAATAGGTAGTCAATAAGCTCGTATCAAAATGAGCTATTAATTTCTAGGTGTTCAAGTCTAAAGGTGCCTCTTTGAAATACATCCTCGTACTGTTTCACGTCCCCACTACTATAGATGTAGTCAACTTTCTTTATAAAGGATTCTCCAAGATTCGAGGTCAAGAAGGGAATTGTATGTCTGTTTCTATAAGAATTTTGAGAAAAGAACAATAAACTGATTGAGAATATTGATAAGGAACACTTACACAAAGTCAAGATTTGGAATATAAGGAATCCTTTTACTGGTAATGTAAACGAGACTTCTGTACTTAGAATGATCGTGTAATTTAATCTTATGTAGGAGTGGCTTCAATTGATTATCCAACACACTTCTATATGAAATGATTATTACTGTATTTATCTTCAGGGAAATTCCTTGAAGCTTGTTCTTGCCCAAAGGATTCACTGCAAACAAATGTACTTACATCTTCAATTTATCCAAGCTTTTCTTTCCTCTTTTGGATTGCTAATGGATGTTACACTGAAAACTTACAGGGAGCATTCAAAATCTACAGTCGATAAGGTCTTCGTATTTCATAGAAATTCTTGTTTTCTCTATGAAGGTTTTGGCTTCTATAACAAAAATAATGAATAATCTTACCTTTGGGATTAGCTTTTCTCTCAAGTAGGATATCCAGTGCGCTCATGAATTTCACTAGGTGCTGTTCCTCAGAGAGGTATATGTAGTAAAGTCTGTATTTCATTGCCGGGGATAGGAAAAGTTGAGTTTCCTTCTCTGATTCAAACCTGATCGATTTCTTGACATCATCTTCCCTCTCAATGTCTGCCATGTTCATCATTGCATACTCATATTTATGCCAAAACAATCTGCTATATCTGTTGAGCTGGGACATCAACAAATAGCACTCTGCCAAGTAGCCATAATACTTAAGAGTTTTCGTAACGAAAGGTAAGAACCCTAAAGATCTTATCTTTCAAGTCTCGAAATCTTTTATCTCAATTTGGATGTCTCTTTCATCTCCAGAACCAGAGGATTCCATCTCGAAGTCTAATTATCCTCTGATTTACATCTTCATTATATAAGCATAGATATTTCAACATGCTGTAAGATATTGGGGTTTTGGGGTTTTGGGGTTTTGGGG